ATAAAAAAAGTTTACTTTAAAAAAAAAAAACCAAAAATATTAATATTTGAAATAGTTTGTAAAATGTAAGTTAATATAAAAAAATAAAACATTCGATTTAATTGGATTGGAATAAGCGTGGGTGGATAATTGTAGGATGGCCTTGAAAATTCCTACCAAACTTTCCACGAATGATTTTAAAGCACGAAACGAGGTATACATATACATATATATATGTATACATGTGCGTTGGCGTATTTTCTTAGAATTACATACACGTAAGAGTTCTTGCAATTTCTTTAAACGATTTTCCAAGAGCGCCCGTGAAAGTGGAATGCAGCTTGCTGTCACGCGAGAAAAGGTCAACTCTTGGGGAGAAAACACGCGAGTTCTATTCGCGATACTATATATACAATACATATATATGTATATATCAGTATTATATAGGTGTATATATATATATATATACATGTTCGTGTATACAGTGGTATACGCTTCGGGATATTTGTACCGGCTATTAACTTTTCTTCGTGACCGCGACTAGTTTATGGGGAGAAAGAAAAAAAAAGGAAGACAAGAAAGAAAGAGAGAGAGTGAGAGAGATTAAAATATTAAAAAAAAAAAAAAAGAAAGAAACTACTTGATCAGCTGGTAATCGCATTTCTCAACATAACTTTTTTGTCGACCTCGTTAAAATAATCTTGAAATATCAAAGTTTATTAAAAGTGTTAATGTCTACTAACTAATTTGCATAAGTAAATCGATGAAACAAATGAAATTACGCGTTCAATTGGATAAACCTGTAACACGAATAATACATAAATTAAATTTATTTCCTGTTGCATGATTTTACAAAATGACCTCTATTTAATGGCCTAGTATTTTTTTTTTTTTTTAATTTTTTTTTATATTAAATATCAATATTTACCATACATATATATATATATATATATAAAATATAAAATATTAAAAAAAATATTCGCTCATATCGAACCATATATTTTTGCATATAAATAAATAAAATAAAATATTATTGTACAAATATTAATAAAATATTTTGTTAAATAATATTTAACAAAATACTGATACAAAAATAAAAACTTCATAAAAAGAATATTATATTATTTCTAAACACAAATTCATCCCAAATTATAAAATTTTAAACAAACCCATTACATAACCATATACATATATAAACCAATTATTTATTTAACAAACAAACAAAATATATATATATATATACAGATCATGAAATAAACAAACACATAAATAATAACATCAACAGATTACCCAAAAAAATCACGGTACAGAGTAAATAAGTAAAATAAACAGAAATGGGTAAGAAAATTGGATAGAAGAAAATGCACAAAAGGGGTAGGAGTGGAGGGGTGGTTAGTACTAGTAGTAGTAGTAGGGAAAATCGATAGGAGTGGCAGTTAAATGGCACAACGAAGTTTACGTGTATAACTAACGTTATATCGTATAAACAAACGGTGTGTTACGTCTGTCCGAGGGCACCGAACTTCCTGATGTTGTAAGCTGTGCAACGAGGAACGCGTTACCAGAGGAAGAAGAAAAAAAAATAGAAAGAGAAAGAGAAAGATAGAAAAGCCTCGAGCATCTTCTCCTCAACGATAACGACCTTCGCCTTCGCCTTCCCTCGACGAAGACGCAAGTGGGGAAGGGGGAGAAGAGTGGGAGTAGGGTCTTATCTCTTTTGACGGGCGTAGCTGCCTTTTCCGTGTTGTGTTCCCTTGCTCGCGTGAGAGAAGCTCACGAGCAAGAGAAACGTTCGAACTTAATGAAAGAGTGAGAGAGAGAGAGAGAGAGAAAGAGAATCTCGTAAAGACTCGAAAGTGACTTTTCGATTTTTTTTCTTTTTTTCTATCCTTTCTTTCTATTTTTTTCCCATTACTCTTCTTCTTCTTCTTCTTCTAGTTTTTTTTATCATCTGTTTTAGTAATAATAAAAAAGAATAGTTTCTTGATACCAAAGAGGGAGGGTGGAGAAGGGGAAGGGTTGGGGAATGGTTACGATGGTGGTGTATGGTCGTCGTGGTTTCGCAAACGAGGGGACCATTTTCTTCAGTGTATTACGTCGATAAACTGGTAACGTTCATTCGATAAGATTGATAATAACGGTGGAAAGAATAACCGTAGAGAGATAGTAAAGTATAGTAAGTAAGTAAATAAAACTACACATCTTTTTCTTTAACATTTGGCAATGGTCCAATAATGATTATTCGTATTTTACTTTTTTTTTTTTTTATCTTTTTACACATTTTCCATTAATTCGGAGAGAATATAAAATCGATAGTCTATCATTTCGCTATTATATATATGCAATATAAAAAGAACTATAATAAATATATAATAATATTTTATACATATAATAATATATAATATAAAAAAATATTATAATAAAATTATATAATAATATTATTTTATATATATAATAATATTATATAATATATAATATAAAAATATTATATAATCATCGTACACATTCAGTTTCTTTTTTATTTTTATTTCTATAAAAAGAAACAAATATTCATCTTCCTATCTCTCTCTCTCTCTCTCTATCTGTCTATCCTATTTTAGACGGCTATTAAAATTCAACGTTCGTTGAACGTCGTGGAAAACGCTAAATGTATGAAACTATGCACGGAATTAGGGAATTTTGAGCGTATCCTAAAAGCGCGCGAAAAGCCAGGACCAAGCATGAGATAAAATGAAAAGATAGAAAGAGACAGAGAGTAATGAAAAGGAGGTGAGGTGGGATGGTTGAAAGAATAGAATAGAATTGTGAGTTAACGAGATTTGCGAGATTCCCGAAAGAACAATGATGGCGGGTAAACAACGCGTTAAAGACCGAGCTGCCTGCAGGTGCTCTCTTTGTCTCGTTTAAGTGATTCAATTTCGTTTAAGGTTCGTTTAAAGACCGAGAGGGTTTTGAAGAGTCAAGGACTTTTCCCTTGCACGCTCCTATCCTTCGTCCCCCCCCTCTCTCACTCACTCACTCACATTCACATTCACATTCACATTCACATTCACTCACACTTATTCTCTTATTCTATCTCTTTAGAATGCACTCACTGCCTACCAACGTAACGACCAACGTTGGTCGCTGTCTTTACAATCCCCTTTTTCCACCCCCACCCTCCACTGCCCCTACTACTACTACTACTACTAGTATCACGAACGATGTGCCTTATCTAGTAAGGGGGGTGGCCAGGTTAAATCGTTGCGCGTGATCGTGCATACTAAAACGATTCTACTGTACTAAAGGTTGTTATATGTTCTACACCAAGGGCTGACCCTTTAGAACCCTGTAATTCCTTTGACGTATGTTACGCTTAGGATAAAACTTTCTTCTATCATTTTCTCTTTCTTTCTTTCTTTCTTTTTTCTGTATATGTGTGTTCTATCCTAACTTGCACGAATATTATTACCGTTACTCCCCCAACCGGTACGTACGCATGCATGCACGTCCATCTGTACGAACATTTTGATATACCCGGAAATGAAGGTAAAATCGATTTGATAGTGTGTTGGTTAAACGTTTCTTCCTATAGGTATACAGGGATTCGATATCGAACCAATTTTCTACTATACGCAACGAATAGAAATGAGCATTTGATAATTAAAGTCAGTAAAGGGTTGTTAAGAGAATATTAACCATTATTTTATACCAGAAAATTGTTTTCAAAGATTATAAACAGAGAGAGAGAAATATAAAATATGGAAATTCATCGTCATGACTGGTAGGTTGGTAAATGTTACGTATATATTATTTCCATGTATTCCTATACCTGTATATATATATATACTATATATGGTGAATGAATGGGTGTAGTAACTACGAAGAGAAACGTTATAAAGTGGCGCGTGTCGTTGTCACTTGTAATTTAGCGACTAAATTCAGCTCGTTTCGAGGCCGTCGTTTCGAGAACCGCTCGATATATATATATACATATACATATATATAACTCTCACATACACACTATCTTTTTCTATATCATATATTATAATACTTATATACACGAAGTTTAATGAATGCGATAATACCGGTGCTCTTCTTGCATCACGCGAATTTGATCAACGAGATGATCTCGATTATATTTTACCGACGGAGGTCAAAGAGAGGACAAAAGCGTTAAAGAGAATTACGCTCTTTGCTCGGTGGTGATGACGACGACGACGACGACGATGATGGTGGTAGTGGTGGTGGTAATACTTTGAATAAGCTATTGAGAACGATTGGAAATTCAAAAGATATTTTTAAAGAAAGAATTGTAGGTAAGAATGCTTTCAGAAGAATTCAAAAAGGTAACTTCCCCAATAGACTTTTATTGAGAGAGAGAGAGAGAGAGAGAGAGAGAGAGAGAGAGAGAGAGAGAGAAATGAAAAAAAAATATAGGTCGAGATAGTTGAAGAGAATTGGGGGGCCAAGTGGAGGGTGGAGGGTGGTTGGATGAAATAGGGTGGTATAAGGGGAAGAGTATGGCTATCTCGATTCGAGTAAATATCTTCAGGTCTGCCTACGAATCGCAATGCGGTCGTTCAATGCACGAAACGGCCAGCATATCGATTCGTGCTAGGAAGAGAGTAGAACTCTAACATTTGGTCTACTCTCTGCTACTACCACTACTACTACTACTATTATTATTATTATTATTACTGTTAGTACTATACTCTATATGCCAGTGAATCGTTCATACTTTCGTCGCGCGAGTACGATAACGATTTATAAAGTTTCAAACGGGGTCCCGTAAAAAGTCGCTTTCCTTGTAGCTCTAGGATCGTAAAGTTATCGGCCGTTGTAATAAAAAAAAAAAAAAAATGCAAGGAAATGGGGGTAGTCGTAACGACAACGACATAGAACAACAGCTACCCTCTTGCAATTTCCCACCAAGATAAGCTTACGTCACAGTTTTATAAGAGAAAACAGAAAATAATGAAAATTGATATTCGCTAGGATAAAATTAATTTTGATAAATGAACAATAAATTTCTGGCTTACCTTTTCTCGAAGCATATCTCGTACTTTGATCGTTTGATTTCTGCTACGATGTAATTCCAGTTGCAATTCGAGACATCTCTCTTGCCAATTGAGTTCTTCAACAGCGCTGGAATAACCATCGAAACTTTTGGATGATCCATAAGCAGGTCTGGTTTCAAGTTTTTCTTTCTTCGAATCTGCCTGGGTCCTCTGATCGAGAAACAATCTGTTCTCGGCATAAGTTCTACCCGTAGATTGCTGTTGTTGTTGTTGTTGTTGATGATGATCAACCGGTTGTCTACCAGAGAATGAAAAAGCTCTATCGAAGTGAGCCCTAGTAGAGGATCCAGGATCAAACGTTGGTCTACCTCGGGCAAGGCTCGACAAATCCTTGGGTTCGTAAGAGGTGTTGGTAGTTGTGGTGGTAGTTGTACTTTGAGATGAGAAATCCGTTTGCCCGGCGAACGTTCTCTTGTCGGTATATTCAACGTGACCGCTTGATTCCGATGTAAAATCGTATGGGCTACACTTGCTCTTAGGATCGCGTAATTCAACGTAACCGGCGCTCCTAGCAGCATCCTTGTAAGTTTTATCCTTTTGAAAAAGTAAATTGGGTACGTTGACGTAGGGCGAATCTCTCGAATGAACTATCGAACCAACAGTACTTCCCCCAACAGCAGTAACAGCACCAAGACCAACAGCAACACTAGCACTACCACCAGCAGCAGTAGTACCACCATTATTGTTATTATTGTTATTGTTGTTTAAAGGCGAGGTGCTTTGATGACGTGGTCTAGGTGGTGGAGTTGGTGTTTGACGAAAATGACGAGGCCATAATCTAGGACTGTCCGGACCGCTCGACAAAACTCGACTCGATTCGGAAACACCACCTGACGAGGACTGTTGTTGTTGTTGCTGTTGCCTTCGGATACCCTCAGGTGTACTTGGCTGTTGTTGTTGTTGCTGCTGCTGCTGAAGGTGATGATGGTGATGATGATGATGATGCGATACAGAACCTGTCGTTGACTCATGTGTTCTTGCACCGAGTCTTGGACTGCAAGGTGCCGAAGAACTCGAACCAAAATCCGTCGCTAAACGTGCGATCGGATCGAGAATTTGTGAAAGACGACGTGCTGGTGAACCTCGTATCTCGTCCATCTTCTTTTTTCTTTTTCTCTCTTTTACTTTTTATTTTTCACTCTTTCTCTTTCTATCTTTCTGTATATATTTAATTTTTTATCAAAAGAACACGTCGATACGAAAAATATCGCGACGACGACGACGACGACAACGAAATTGATGATTTTCCATGAACGCCACGTGCGTTCTTTCACCGATCATCGTCGTAGTTTCTCATAGGCATTCTTCCCACGTTACAATCTTACGATTTATCTGCAAACACACAAGAAATAATTTACGTTAATAAATATTCCTATCAAAGATATTTTTTAACATTAAACATATCGATGTACTTCGCTTATATTTATTTCTTTTACCATTGCGTATCAAATGACCAGTCTTCGATAATTCATATATTTTACAACATAGTTAACGATCTAACCACGTTTGGATTACTGCTTCCCTTTACATCGCTAAAGACAAGCAACCTGAGTACGGTTAGTAACATCGATTGAAAACCCACCCGTCCGAAAAAAAAATCCCAAAAATCATATACTGTTGACTTTTGAAAGATGATAAAAAGAAACAAACTTGTGTGGTAGTATTGAACAAGTATGAGAATTAAGTGAAGAAAATAACTCTGGAACTCGTAAAAAGGAAAAGTTACAAAGCCAAGAATATTTAACGATATTTATACATAAACAATAAATATTATAAACTACATAATCATTAATAAAATAACAATTCTTTGACTTAATAAAAGACACCACTACTCCTTTTAAGAAATTGTAATAAAACAATATTCCAAAAAAGGGTTATTTGACTTGGTCCCATTAAGTTTCAATGTTAAACAACATTTAAATAAGTTCATCTCGTATCTTTCGCTATTAGTGACATATACGAAGGGAAAAGGACTATGAGGACAAAGAAAAGAACATGAGTTGAATCAGGAAATGAAAAAGGGGGAGAGATATTAAGCAACGTTTAAGTGTTTGCTCTACTAAATTGAAAGCTTGTAACTCTATGAGCAAGTGGGTGGGGGGTGGTGGTGGTGGTATCTCTCAAAGCGTTTCCTCTCACCATTTACATCTACTTCTACTTCCCTTTCCCTTTTGTCCTCACCCTTAACTACTACTACACTTCTCTACTTATTCCTTTGGCTTCATCTTCAATCTCGAGGAAAGAAGAAGTTAGGGGGAACACTGACGTCTCTCGCAAGGCTTCAAAGTTTATTTTAAGGTCGGTAAGTAAAAAAAATGAACGAAATGAAAAGAGATGGAGTGTGGGGAAGAGTGTGGGGAAAGGAAGAAGTACTCGGCGCCTGAGTTACTTTTACTTTCGCGTGTTCCAAGTAAAATGTCTCTTCTCGTAAAAGAGAAATTTATACTTGATCGATATATTTACCATCTTCTAAAAATAACAATAATAATAGTAATCAAATCGTGAACACATACAAAGAAAATAAAAGATGAGAAGAATAAGGTAACTAGTAAAAAGTAAAATAAGCACGAACTCGAATGAGTTTTGTTTAGAGAGAAAACAGTAATTATACAAATTGGTTGCACCACCGGAAAACAGCATCCTCATCCAAAAATAATACCAAGGATCACGAGAGAGTTAGCTAGCAAGTAAGCAAGCAAGAGAAAGAGAGAAAGAAAAAGAAAGAAAGAGGTACATTTCAAGAGGGTCATGGCCCTTTTTATACGACCCTTTTCCATCTCACTCTCTTTGACTGTCTTCTTTTTTAAATATCGTACCTAGGTCCCTTTCTATCAACCTTTTCACCCTTTTCTTTTCTCTTGAAATTTTTTTTTTTTCACTAGAGTGTCGTACCACCGAAGACACAATGACACTCGATGGAAGAAAAAAATCTCGACAACCTGTAGCTGTGTTGCTGCTTCTGCTTTTGCTGATGCTGGTGTTGCTGCTGCTAGCAAAACCAAACTCAATGAACTCTTGGTGTTTTTCTTTTTCTTTCTCTTATCGTTTCGTTCGTTTATTAAGTACTTGAAAAAAAAAAAAAACAGCAAAGGAAAGAACCAAGAAAAGATTTGAACATAAAGAGAAAGAGAGGAAATACACGAGTCAAAATCTCAACGACAACTTCCATATCTCGACTTGGTTTCCCTCAGGAAGGGAAAGTCGTGTCGGTTATTCACAAAGGAATTCTGAGGATCGCGAATACGAATAATATCGTGTGTATTTCGAGGTTAAAGTTAACATATAATATCGTAAACTTTACACCTCCGTATGTACATATATATATATGTGTGTGTGTGTGTGTGTGTAGTTTGCAAGTTAACTAAAGAAGAACAACTGGATAATGTATTTTCTTTGAGATCATTTTCTTCTTCTTCTTCTTCTTCTTCTTCTTCTTCTTCTATTCCCAAGTTAATTTATCAAACAAACGTACGTTCCAATTTCTCATGTTTGTCGTCTTTGTCATTTTTTTTAACGAGTTGAAAAAGAGACAGCTATAAAGTTAATTTCTATTTCTGTATATTTTTGTATATATTTGTTTTAATAAAATTGTATTGGAATATAATTGACTCCAATGTTTTCTCATTTCACATGATGCAACAAATACAAACGTATCATTTCTATGTTCAATCAAAAGTTAGTAATTCAAATAACATATTAAATACATTTTTTATGGTGTAATGAATCGTTCCTGAATTGTTTATGAAATGTTAAGCAATGTTAATTACACGAGTCTCACATTAAACTAAAAGTATAGTCAATAAACTTTTGACTGAACACAAACAATAAAACATTTCAGTATCCTAATTAAAATAAAGAAAAAATGCAAAATGCAAAATGCAGTATTCATATGATAATAATACGTTTGGAAATAATAAAAAAAAAAAGATTCTAATAAAAGATGATCATCGGATATCGGAATCCGAAATCCAATATAAATATTATACATATATACATATATATATATATACCTGTTCACCTATGTTTAAAATAAAACGTCGTAATTTTGGCCTTTTGGAAAAGGGTAAAGATAATTATCGAGCTAGTACCAAAAAGGAAGTATAGTTCTGGTAGGATGTTTAGTTGGGTGGGTGTTGGTTGGTGGGCTCCTAGGTTTATGGGGTGGAGACGTCGATTAAGCTTTCGAAGGGTTCGAGATTATTCGAAAGGCAAATATTATCGCCGCTGGAGGTATAGGTATCGATTATTCGAAACAATGCGGCCCACCTCCCCCTCCCCCTTAACCAATACCAAACGATTGCCGCCCAAGGTAAACTGCAAAGCTATAATAATCCGTATAAACCTAGTGTATAACCGGAGGCGGTGTTCTTCGTTTAAAACACGCGAAACCGAAGGCGTCCCTGTAACGAAAATGGCAAACTAGCAACTGCAAACTAGCAAAACTTCAACTTGCAACCAATAACCACCAGAATTCTCTTCTCTCTTTTAAAGTCAGTCAGTATCGATTAGTATAATAATTCACCGTTCTAGTATCGGTGTCTCCGTAGATTCTCGATAAGTTGAACAACGTCAAACACTTGTTTTCTATCTCTCTCTCTCTCTCTTTTCTATTCCCTTCACTTCCCCTTTCCCTTCCTTGTATCATCAACGCAACCAGGAAAATCCGAACGGTTTGAGAACACGAGACGACGACTCCAAGAATAACATCGTGTTGCGCAATGCACTTTGATGAACGAATCGTCGATAAGTCTACTATCCCCCCCTAAACCCTCAACTCCACCCCACCTTCTCCCCATTTCCCCTTTCTCATAGTCTCTCTCTCTCTCTTTATCTATCTTTCTCGAACTACTCGAACTACTCGCCTACGTTGCATCCGGCGCGTAAGATGTGTGTACGTATATGTATGCATGTATGTATGCATGTGTGTGAGTTGCATTTTTTATTCTATTCGACACGATTGATCGATCGTGCGGAGAAACGTCCTCTCTTCGTCGCGTTCGATTTTTTTCTTCCTTTTTCCTTCTTCTTCAACTTCTTCTTTTATTTGCAATAGTGTGCATGTATGCATCTATATGTGTGTGTACTTATACTTAGACGAGTAACCTAACCAAAGAGAAAGAGTAAAATAACACTGTTTTTCCATCTAACCTTCTCTCTTAGAATCGATCTCCTAAGGGGGCCCTGCATAAACTCAGAGACGCTTTAATAAAGCCGCTGCCGACTTCAACCATCACCACCATACCTTCTCAACATATTTCAACATATTCAACCAATATTCAACCATATTCCACAAGACGCGTTTTATTATTACTACGTTATAAATCTATCCGGAGGATATCGACAGTGCTGATTTTTATGGTGGACCCATAGGTGTACGGCCTATCTATCTATCTATTTATCGTACCCCCTTCCYCCCCCCTATCCACCCAGACACAACCATAATCTTTCTCTATCTTTATCTCTTTCTCTTTCTTTTTTTTTGTATTTTTCAACGTTTTCTTTACTAAACCCGACTGACCCCGACGAACCTCCTCTCCTGCCACCACCACCACTACCATCGTCATGACCAACCCCTTCTACATCTACCCCTATCCGGGCTATCACATAATCCCGCTCGTTTTACGACCAAACGAACGGTCCTTTATTTTTCACACAGATACTACTGCTGCTGCTGCTACTCCTGCTGCTGCTGCAACGACATGACTACTACTTTTTCTTTCTATTATTCTTTTCTCTTTTTATTTTTTTTTTTTTTGCTTTCTACCCTTTATCTTTCTCTCTTTCTCTTTGTCTTTTTTTTTTTTTTTTATTCTTTCCAGAGGAAAAATTGTTAGCCCTATTTTATTCGCAAGAGAAATTTGCGAAGTAACACTCGTAAACATTTCTTATCTTATACTATCTTTTTCTAATATTTCTTTTTATTTTTTTTGTTCTTTTTTTTATCTAGGTATTATTTAAACAAATAGAAAGGTTAAAAAACGGAATATATTACACGCGAGTAGAATGACGAATGAAATATTCCAAAAGAAAAGTTGTACATTTTATATGCAATACGATGTTAACGTGTATTCATCTACCTATATATATATATGTATATATACATATACATACATTTATATCTACGTGCAAGTTAATTCTTAATTGTAATAAAATTACGTATTCATAGCATGGCAGTTTCTTCCCTTTTTTTTCGTCCCTTTTACTCTTTTTCCTTATTCTTCCCTTTTTGCCTTGCTACATGGATCAGGATGAGAGGAAAAGAGAAGAAACACTTGTATGTCTGTGTGTGTGTGTGTGTTTGTAAAAGTAAGTGTGTTCGCACAAATACTAAG